TTGCGTAAAGGCATCTACTGCCTCCGTTCTTGGACAGAAATAATAGCTGTTGAAGCGCTCCTTTTTTGTATTCAGGTGATCCGCGAATCTGTCTACTGTTATATCTCCCCATAATTCTTCTAACCATATGAACAAATTGTTGTTTAGTTTCCAATCGTTGGTATCTATTTCCCTGGTTAAATAATCTGCAGGATTTTCTGCGCTTGGTATCCAATGGATTTTGTAAATCCAGATATCGTTTTCTGCACAGAATTCCCATAGATAGATAACGTGCAATTTCCTTTTGCCAAACTTGGCTTCCCCCTTGTACTGCCGTTTTTAAAGCTACTCTGTTGTCGACGAATAGCATCACCCCGAATGCCTTACCAAATTTACAAATGACTGTAGCGTTCTCAGAATTGCAATACTTTCTAGTTGTGCAATCTCCGTTGATGATCCAAGTTGGGCCCAACTTTCTGCTGCTCTGTTCTGATAAAACGTTCCACACTATCCCTTTATTGATGTGTCTATGAAGATCGGCTTTATCAAGGATGGTTTCCATGCGGGCTTCCCATTCCATTTCTCTAGATTTTTGCACAGCCAATTTATGTCTCCTTCGCTTGGTCTGTTAGATATAATAATTCGTCCCATTTCCAATATGCTCGATTCTGGGCATCTATTATTTTGTAAAATTCCAAACATTTTACTTGCGCTGGAAGAAAGGCGCGTGCAAAACTCTGAATCTTTCCAGCAATTGAGACAAGATTTCTTGCGCTTATCCAATTTGAACCTTTTAATAATATTAGTTCGCTCCTTACTAACTGTAGCTTTTCTTCCGGAACTCGAACCTGAGCCAAGATCGTATCTATTTCTAGCCCAAAATATTTTACTATTTGCGTAGGTTCCCATTGTCCTTTTTCTGTTGCTCTTACTAGGCCACACCAGTCTAAATCCTTTGCAATAACCGAATTTCTGATTTCTACTAAGGTTTCCTTGTTTGGGTGAGCCACCCAGACATCGTCGAGGTGGTTTCCACAGAATATTCTCTTTGCTCTCCAAGATCCTATAATTGCTCGCATGATCTTTGAGAAGATCCACACTGCTTGCAAAAACCCGAAAGGAAGAACCGTATAACAGTACCAATTTTTTCCAAAACGAAATCCAAGAAATCGCCGGGCCCATTCGTCCATATGCACATGATGGTATCCTTCTCGCAAGTCGAATGTAATTATCCACCAATTCTTCTCTATTGATCTTAGAAGTCCACCCAGTCCCTCGAAACGTACAGACTTTTCTGGCAGAGTTTTGTTCAGCCTTCTTAAGTCTACTACTAATCTGAATTTCTTTGAACCCTTCTTCGGAATTAGAAAGACTGGACTTACTTCCAATAAGTACTCCGGTCTCTCTTTTTCTTGACAAATTTGATGAATTGCACCTGTTTCGCATAGTCTGTTTAGCTCTCGTTCTATCCATACCTTTTCTTCCATTGAGAAACTGATCTGTCTCGGTACTTCCTTTATTGACAAAGATTTTACACTCTTTGGGAATAATGGTACTCCTTTCTCTAACCAACTCTGCACTAACGCTGGTGGCTTTATAACCCGATTCCAATAATTTACTACTCTCTCAAATGGATTCTTCCCGTAACCACTTGTTCGGTCTCCAACACCTTCTTCTGAGATTCCCCCCGAGTGTAGTCAACTTTCCTGCTTTGATTCAGGTTTGCGAAATGATAACCCTGCTTTCTTATATGGATAGTTAGATGCAATGTGTCCTTTTTCCTCACAAATATAACAAACAATATTGCTGAGTCTTCCAGGTTTTTTATTCGTCTCCTTTGGATCACTTATAAATGGTTGATGTTGTATTGTTGGTAAAGCGGACCATCCTTGAAAAGATGGCTGATTATATGCTGATTGCAAATAATTACCATGCAGATGTTAAGTCGTATGATTTAAGGGTTGATGTTGCAATGATAGATCCGGTCCAGAGTAGCATAGCGGGCTTTCATTGTAATTGGCTGATTTTTGTAGATCATCCCGTGATATTGCAAAAATATCATTGGT